AATTAATATTTATTTGTATAACTTTATCGCTTATTACTGCGCTCTAATTTAATGTATCTGCATTGTATTCTGCTCATAGCCTACGGGGTTATACCCCACGGCTTAATAAAGCTTATTCTATTCTATTCTCTCTCTCTCTCTCATTCTGTTTTTTATAATATAAAGAACAAAATCATTTAAATGTAAATAGATATGTTCTTATTAATATAAATTTTTATATATAATTAATACCATTATATTAATAACACAATTATATTTAAATTTTATTAATTTATCAATATAATGGTATTAGTTATACATAAATTTTTTATAATAATAAGAGCATATATGTTCTTTACATTAAAAAAGAAGTTCTGTTATTTTTTCATTGAATAATATTGTATTATTCGTTATATAATATGTATGTACGTGTGTATATGAGAGAGAGAGAGTATTTCCAATTTCAAATTTAATGTCCCTTTCTCTCACGTAGTTAAAATTTTTTGTTTTGTTTTTGGATCGCGTTCTTTTTTTTACGATGTCTGGCTTTCGTCGTCGTAGTCGTTATCGGCATAGTACACTGTTACTCTCACAGTTTTATTATACAGGGAATTTCAGTACAAATACATGTGTTTCCTATTACAGCAGGCATCGGTCGCCACTTGAATTACTGCCACCGTCTCCAAGCTCGCGATTGCTTCCAACGGTGAATGTGTACGTTGAATATTATTATATATATAGATAGATATATGAATTGATTTTTTTTCAATTAAAGAATCTTTTTTTTTGCAGATCTGATGACGATGACGACGATGACGTGGAGATGGTCTGACAGGTAATTGTCTCGCGTCGACCACCACCACCACCACCACCATCATCACGACACGTGATACACGTTGACCTGGTGACGCCTCGAGCAGCACCCGTGATCATCTGCATCACAACGCCACAACAGCCGCTCTTGGTGACCTTAGTTTCACCAGAGATACAAGAGACGCCCTGCCGCCAACGAGAACAGGTATGATTTTTTTTTTCTCTTTTCTTTTTTTCTAATCGGCGGTAGTATGTTCTAAGTTTTTTTCATATTTTGTTGCAGGTCGACGATCACAACGACGACAACAACAACAACAACAACACCATGCCAATATGCGAGGGCTGGGAGTGCGTATACTGCGCCGCTGGTCGCTGCAGTAGGCAGCCGCAGTGGGTGGAATCACTACCGCAGCGCGGCAGCAGGCGGCACGTCGATCGGAATGGGTCGGTCAGACACATGGTGCGCAGATTATTTACATCGAGGTCGTTCAGTCCCGAAAGTTCCCCCGCTGTGCGCCAGCCTTCTCGATCGCCGTCGCCAGCTCCCTTGAGTAAGCCCGCGGAATCACCCACAACGGCGCTCACGCAGAATCTCCACATCACGGGGAAAAAAAAGCGCCTGTGCGTCATGGACGAAACGGTTGACAGCGCCCCGCGCTATAAAGTTGCCAAATTTTTCACAACTGATCACGACGACGACGACGACGACGACGACGACGATGGCGACGACGACGACGACGAGGACAACGACGAGGACGACAAGGACAACGACGACGACAACGACGACAACGACGCCGATGATGATGATGATGATGATGATGATGATGATGATGATGATGATGATGATAACTAAGCGTCAGTTTTTTATAAATTTTTATAGATTTTTTTGTATTTTTTTGTGGATTTTTTATATTTTGTTTTATTTTTTTATATAATAAATAATTATTAATAATAATATGTCTTTTTTTTATTTCAGCGATCAGACACACACACACACACACACACGCGCGCGCGCGCGCGCACATTGAACATCAAAAAAATTATTATTATTCGTTATATACCAATTATAATAAATATCTATGTATAATATTTATTATAATTAGTATATTTATTAAAATTTATTGTATTAGCGCTTGGACCCTCCCCAGCAGCAGCCGCCGGCAGAGCCACCGCCCCCCACATATCAATCGTGTAGCTAGTATACACAATACGGTATTGCCCGTAGTAACAGTGGCTGTAGCTCTAGCGGTAGAGCATCGGCCTGCGGATCCGGAGAACGCGCGTTCGATCCCCCGATCCGTCCGTTTTTTTTCCGATAAATTCAAAAATTTAACACACACACACACACACAATAAAAAAATCAAAACGCGTAACACAGAATGCGCGAGCGCGCATCGAGAATACATCAGATCACGAGGAGAGAGAGAAGGAGAAGGAGGGAAGGGGTAGTGCAGAGAACGCACGTTGCGTCAGAACACATCAGCACATAGTGCATAGGAATCAATCAGTAGGCTGGGAGAGAGGGAAGTGCAGAGAACGCGCGTCAGAGCACATTAGTATAGTATAGGGGGGTGGGGGAGTGCGTAGAACGCACGCACAGTACAGCAGAGCAGGGGGGAGAACGCTCGCCACATTAGATTAACTCAGTAGGGGAGGGGAGAGTGCGTAGAACGTACCGGTATAACTTAGTAGGAGGAGGGGGGAGGTGAGTCGATAGCGCACGGGCCGATCAGTAAGGGGGGGGGGGGGGGAGGTGAGGTGAACATGCACACACCTCAACTCACACGCTGCAACTCAGTGAGCCGATACCCCTCTGAGTTGAGGCTCCTCTAGTTTACCTACTTCTTTCCCATTGTAATTTACGCCCGACTTACAGAACACTCTCGCTATGAGAAACTTGGGCTGAATTACATCCTTTTATAAGAAAGACTTAAGGAGGCTCCAGCGCGAAAATTTTAGAGGTCTGTTGTAGTTATTTCAATAGATAAAAACGTGTTGAATCCAACGGTATAATTATTTATTAGGGTAACCGTGGGAAATTTTAAGATATTTAATCGCAAAGTTGACGCATTTCGTATAGACTATACGTACATAGGTTCTTATAGAGCGACGCGAAATTTTTTAAAAAATTGTTTATTTACATTATGTTAATGGAGTTGTTCAACGGTATAAAACTGATGTTTTATAGAGAAAAAGTTGAGCTTTCAGATGATGTATCGCATAATATGGGTAGCCGTGGGAAATTGTGAGTTATTACCGAAAATGTTGCTAAAAATCGATGTCGCGATCCGCCGTCGGCTTACATTATCTTGTGTATAATATTTTCTTCTGGCCATTAAGGCCTCAAATTTGGTAAGCAGGTTCTTGAGGTGCTAATAAATAATGTGGTAATCAAAAAATGTGGATTTTCAAAAATTCGTAGTTGACTTTTATCTGTAACGGCGGCTCAAAAAAAAAAGACAAAAAAATACCGGCCACACACTTAGCTCGTAAATTAAGATGAAAAACGAAAAACTGCATACAGCTAAATAAAGAAAATTTTTTCTGTGAACGGCAGTTTTCGGCTCGCGCATCTGGCAATCTTCGGATGTTGAAAATAATCAGAGCGATCTTACGATCGGGCCATCCAGAGTAGCCAGATTGCGAGCATCTTTAGAAAGTAGAGATCTGCAGCGCACATGTGCATCCTACCGATAGTACTGTTATTTTATTTTAAATAATTTCAATATTACTAATTTCTTTTAAATTAAGGGAAGCGCATTTGCTTGCAGATCTCTTAAAAAATGCGAAATTTATCTATTGGAAGTAACATTCAAGTAGTCAACAAGGACTATTTTAATTAATAGTTTTTGTTTATTGCTCGGATAGTTTTAATTTTATACCTAAATATAAATATGGAAATAATTCATTATATTTCCGTATTTATTAAGATTTTTTTTTATTGCGAATTTTGTATGTTTAATCGTTGAATGCGCACAACTTTGCGTTAGAAAATTTAAGAACGGCTTGAACGAAAGTTAATGACTATATTTATTATAATTAACTCTGATTTTTCAGTATTTCTTAAGGCTTTTTGATAATTAATTAATAGTTAAGACTATTAATATCTTGTTTGTTTTCAGATAAATATAATCCTTAACTTTTGTTCTGTACTTTAGTTTTATTATAGATTAAGTAATATTTTTGTAAAAATTAGAGTACCACACACAGAATTGAATTTAAATAGAATTAGTTTAAATAATTAAAGGTCAAAATAGTATATAGAGGGCCATCTATGTGAAGAAGGTCCAAAGCACTTAAATGAGGCCACTCCCGCACACGCCGCCCCCGGCCAATTAGGGTTCGAATTTTGCTTACGCTTGAGACACTCCCCAAATTTTCCAACCAATTAAGTTAAGAAAATTTGAGTTCTTCCTGCCCAAAAATGACAAAGATTTTCGAGTTGGAGTCTCTTGCGAAAAGCATAAAAAGGAGCTTTTCAAGAAAATTAGGCAGTTATTTTCTAAATTCAGTTCGTGTAACCATTCCAAATTAGTTTGCTGTTTTTCAAAGTTCGTTCAGTTCGAAAGTTCTAGTTATTCTTTCCAGTGTGTGTGTGAGAAATTAAGGCAAAAGTAAGTAAAGAAAATCAAAATAAATTTTTTTACTCTAACTTCTTTGTACATCCGTTTCTCTCCTTATTCTTGCCTAGTTTAGGTTCGCGGACGGTCTGTCTTTTAGATAGTTACACTCGATTGCCAAGCGTGTGGTCGAGTGCATATTAGATAGGCCCCCCTTTACGTTATTTTATTGCCAAGAGTGTGGTAAAATAACGCGAAGCATTGCTATATTGCCAAGCGTGTGGTATAGTAAAGCTTCAATCCTCCGTCGCCAAAAAAAGAATTTCCCGCGATAGTGGTCACGCACGTCCCGGTTATTTTCCGTAAAGATAGACCAAAAAAGTGCGCCTGAGAATTGTTTCGTCAACCGAAGTTACGTTTTTCGTCGTTTTTGAGGTTATAATTTTTTTTGGGAATACCATGTTATGTATTGAATTTTAATTCAATCTATAAGATACTAGAGTCTTCAAGGAACATCGATTTTTTTACATTGATTGGTTAATAATTGCCGAAATAACAGCGAGTTGAATCCCAGGAGTATTTTTTTAATGCGCGAAAACAAAGTTGAGAGTCGGTTGAGAACCGCCATGGCACTGGAGCCTCCTTAAGGTCTGCTTTTAGGATACTTCGCACCATAAGAAACTAGGGTAAAGTCTATCTTTCCTGAAAATGCAATTCATATAATCATAAATATTCATTTATAATTTTATTTCAAAGTTAATATTTATAAGTATTTTTAAAAATTGAAACAAATTCTTACTCATTAACGCGATAGACTACGAAAGTATGAACAATAATATAAATAGAAGGTGATACGAACATCATACTGTAGAGCTTTTGATATGATCAATGTAAAACCATGCTATAACTGTGGAGGTTATTGGTACAAAGGATTAAAATGTAGGAATGAATCAGCATATCTGTAATGCTTTGATAAATATCCAACAACAGCTTGCAAAGAACAAAAGAACGAATAGAAATGTATAAATTGTACTTTTAGCAACAATAAATATGAAATGACTTATAAAACAAACCATATGGCAACAGATAACCACATATATGAAATACTGAAATAAAAAATTTATAATGTGATTGACTTTACCAACTACGAAATAAAACCTATGCTACCAAGATATATTGGTATGTCAAACAACTACGAAAAAAACCAGTTAGAATTTTCACGCATCCGAGAACATCTAGTATTATTTATTATTATTATTATTATTATTATTATTCAAGCAGAAAAAATGTTTTAAGCACCAAGTAATGGATAAGTACTTTAATGTCGATTAATAAATAACGATTTAATAAATAACGTAAATGCATATAAAGATCTAAAAAATCTTTCAATGAAAATCTCTCGAGTAATAAAAGCTTAGTTATATGTATAAATATTAGAAGCATAAATGTAAATTTTAATAAATTAGACTTTCATTGAAAATCTTAAATTAAAACCTAGTGTAATTATATGCACAGAAACTTGAAATTTACATGACTCAAGTTACTATAAACTAGAAGGATATCAAAGTTATTATAATGAAAGTACCATAAATAAAGCATATGGAGTTATAATATTTATTGAAGAAAAATCGAATGAAAATATTGAAATCGTTCTATTTGATCGACTGAGAACTGTAACAAAAATAATTCCTTGCTTTTTGAGAATAACAAGACCTGCCAATAATAATATTGGAGAAAATTGTATAGATAACTTTTTTATTAAAAACAAATGTATTAAATATACTACACATAAAGTCGAGAATATTTTTAATAATTATTACCTAATTTTCGTCACAATAGATAAAATAGAATCTAAAATGGTCAAAGAAACAAATATTCTATTAATAAACTTTAATAAATTAAAAAGAAATTTTAAAGAGCGTAAATGCCTACAAAGCAAATTGGAATACTATATATTTAGAATATCACCCAAAGAGTGCCCTGAATAAATTGTTAATTTTGATAAAAACATCTGCAGACAATGCAGTAATAAAGAATTCAAACAATAAAATGACAAAAATCCGAATAGAAAAAATTAGATAACTAAGGTTATCATGACATCATGCCAAAAAAAAACTATTATATAAATTGTAGTAAAAAGATCCAAAAAGCATGATACTGTTATGTCTAAGCGAGGAGATGTTATGACTAGACGTAATAATGTTTAAAGTACTGTCGCGTTGGTAAAAGTTGGATCTTAGTCAGGAGTTAGGCGGAGATTGGTTAAAAGGATAGCGCCTTTATTACATGTAGCGTGTTTAGGTAGATAACTTAGTTTCTTACCTTGTTAGTACTGGATTTCAGAAGAGATTTTTCTAAACAGTCTCAGTTTGCGCTTGATTTAAGATTTATTGTTTAATGACAAGTTTATAATGCTTAGCAGAGTATAATTCCGGTTCTGAGTAGCCGGGAAGCGAAACTTAGAAATACCTAAATCAGTATAAGTACGAGTATGAGTGCTAACTTGAATATGAGCTGGAATATGAGCTACCGCGGATCCCGATCCAGCCTTTTTATACCATAGGCTGATGTGCCCCTTCCCTTGTGTTTGCTAAATTAATATACGGTGAGTAATATTCGCGGAAATATTATGGAGAATGTGGTTACACTAATTTATCTCGCTAGATAGATTTACAAATGTTCCCGGGAGGGTTGATACCATAGGAAGTTAAATTACCGATATTCGATTAGTTACCATAACCCGTCATGTGTGACACTTATTGACTTATCGTGGTTCGTCACGTATGTTTTCTTAGTATCGACGTGACAATACTTAAGGGCAAATATAAAAAACATACCAAAACTCTAGATAAAGTAATAAAAGATGCCAAAATGAAATTCGGAAAACAACAAGTTCAATTCAATAGTAACAATCCAAAGAAACTATGGAACTTAATAAGTACTAAATTAGTAACAAATAGTAAAAAAGGAAATGACAGTCTAATAATAAAAAATAATAATATAGAGATGGAAACTGAATCAAAAATAGCAAATTATATGAATAACTATTTTCGTAAAATAGGACCAGAGCTTAGCTCAAAAATCCATAAACCAAATAATGAAAATCTACATGTACCAAAAAAAATATGGCATTTACATATTTATCTAATACAACTAGTGGGAAAATGAAAAACAAGGCAGTTGGAGTTGATGGAATAAATATAAACACATTGAAAAGTATTATACATTATATAAAAGAACCTTTAGAATACATATTTAATTTATGCATAGAAAAAGCAATTAGGCCAGATCAACTTAAAACTGCAGAAGTGGTTCCGATTTATATAGTAGGAGTGAAATCGGACATATCAAATTACAGACCAATATTGCTAATATCGAACATTGCAAAAATATTAGAAAAGATTATTTATAAAAGACTTTTTTCTTGTGTTACAAAACATAAAATGATAATAAACATTTTGGATTTGTAAAAAATAGGGGTACAACTAATGCATTACATTACATTTCTGATATTATATACAGGATCCTAGATAAAAGTAGACCTACTATTATTACTTTTTAATTTTGTAAGTAAGCTTGAGTGGCAAGCCTATACACTGACACATATACCTACACTTCACATTCTTTTATTTGTAAATTTTTACTCGATACAGATTCTCGTTATTTCTTATTAAATAAATGCGCTCACTTTTAAGTTGCTGATGTTGTCGTCAATTTTTCCATCCTAGAATTCCTTTCCAATATAAATCTATTCATTCGCTAACGTATTTATCTACGAAGACAGCAAGGGATTAAATCGAACAACATCGCTACCCGAATCCGATATTGTGATTCGAGGTAAACCACGACCTATATAGCAGTATCTAAGCCAAGCTAAACTTTAATTTGCCGAAATAAACTACAATGCTGTTTATTTCCCTGCCGTGAGTAATATGTCCCATTGAAACCTCTACTATTAGCTGAAATATTTACCGTAGACTTTGTAATAACTAGTTGTTATTCCAGAGTGGCAATACTCTGGAACCTAATTATTTATCAAATTACAGTTAGCCATCATTATAATATCAAATTATATTAAATTATTTATGGACTGGTGTTCAACTTCAAGTTTAATTAATTAACTGAGCCGCGGTAGAGCCTATACCGTAAATTAATTTTTATTTTTGCTGATCTTAATATTTCTGACCATTATAACTTATTGTTATCTATACTACATGGTACCATGGTTATTTCTTGTCGGAAAAGCATCATGTTATAAGTTAAAAATAATTTTACACTTACAAAGCCCCAAAATCATCTGGTAGTAATTCTGCTTGAAATCTATAACTTCAAAATTTTAAATTTTCAATGATAACTTTCAAGCAACCTTTTTTTCATATATAAACAAATGATGATAAATTAAAAAATAATCTACCTACCTCGTTAAATATTTTTTTTACTTTTTGAATTCAATGGTAGAAAATGACGTGAAAAGGAAGGTTCTACTTCAGTAATAAAATAGCCCTGTTATGACTTATTTGACACACCCTGAAACATATATAATTTTCTTTATAATAATCATCGTAGTACTCGGTTAAACCCATACTACTCTCTTAGCTCTATTTTACGATACCTCAGTAACATCAGAGTTTGAACACAGACATGCAGCATAGAAAAACATATGCAGCGACGAAGTATCCCAAATATTTGTTCTGCCGCATACGACACACAAAAAAACGGTACGCTGGAATGTCCTCATTGCGTCGAAAACTGTAAAAGCTAAAAAAAACGCCTCGCCCTTCGAATACAAAGTGGTATCGCAACGCTTCGAAAGAAAATACACTCTGACAAAAGAAAAATCTGACCACGAATAACTGAAGAAAATATTTATAAATGATTATTCCAAAGGCCCGGAACAATCAATATCTGTATCAAAACAATCCATAGAAACAAGTACTCGGCCATTTAATAAAACTCAGTACTCAGAATAAAACGGCAAAAATAAAATCTCAGATGAATCAGACCTACTAGAAACTATAATTCATTAACTAAATCAATTAGTTTATCATAAATTCGTCGATTAAATCAGGAACAGACCAAGTATACTTAAGCAAACTATTTAATAAAAATTTGGAACTGTTGAAATTAAATATGGACGCTAAGTGTAAGAGAAAATGAAGTATCGAAGTTAAATAAATTTTTATTTAATATATCCGTATCTTAGAATAGTTGGTGTCACTATCAAGATCGATCGGACTAAACTATGAAATTTATAGAAGTTTTGTGAGTAGATGAGAGATAGAATTCCCACACACACACAATGCATTATAATGTATATACGAGGTGTGATCAAAAAGTAAGGTGAATTTTTATTTTTCTCAAAAAATATTTATTTATTCATCAATTTTTATTTTATCTCCTTCAAAGTAATCCTCCTCGGATATAATGCACTTGTGCCAACGCTTTTTCCAATCCTCAAAGCATTTCAAAAAATCATTTTTTGTGATCTTGTTTAGTTCATCCTTCGATGCCGTCTTTATCTCCTCAATCGTGGCAAAACGCCGTCCTTTCATGGGCCTCTTTAGTTTTGGGAACAAGAAGAAGTCACAGGGGGCCAGATCTGGGGAATACGGTGCCTGTGGCATCGTTACTGTGTTGGTTTTAGCCAAAAATTCGCGCACAAGCAACGATGTGTGAGCAGGGGCGTTATCATGGTGCAAAAG